AAGGATCTTTCTGTCAGGTTGGGTCGACTACCTCCTCTGACTAAGTAGACCAGGGACCATGATGGCCCGGGACGACGGAACCATGGGATCTTGATCGGGCCCATCATCCATTCCCCCACCATCCGCTTTAAGTGCAAGATGGTGCAATTTCATTTTAAATATCAAATCTTCCAACCCAAATTCCAAATCCAAAAACCCAATTCCTCAATTCTCAAATTCAAATCCAATTTCCAAAACCCAAAACCCATGCTGCTACTATATGCCAGATACACGTATTTTTATACGAATCTGATTAACGACTAGCCTTAATCGAAAGTTCTCTCTCGTGATCGGGAGGGGTAATTAACTATAGGGGCTTGCGCCTATAGGAAACCAGAACTCAGATCATAAAGTCCTCGTAAAATGAGGGCGAAATCTCTGGGTAGTGTCTTATCTACAAACCCATCTGCCTTCCAAAATTTACCCCGGAACATATTCCGTTAAAACTCCCCTCGCTCAGATAAAAAAGAAATCGCGCGGCGGGGAGGCGGGGCCAAATTTTTGGAGCCCACAAATATTTTCCAATCCAAAGGAAACCATTATAAATGAACTACAAAGATGATAAGTTTAACAAAGTATGTTCGTCAAATTAGTGAGAACATATGGAACAACAAATTTTCAGCTAGAAACTGACTTGAAACATTTAATTAAATTATTGGGGAAAGGTAGAAAAAAATTTGACCCTTAAGAGGACACAATGGAGAAAAAAAGATTTATGTAGTCGACCCCACATAGTGGAATAAAAGCTTCTTGTTATTATTGTTGTTATTGGGGAAAGGCAGAAAAAGTTCTGATATTACACGGCATGGATTCACTTTAAAGAAATAAAAGGGAATAAAATTATTCGTTGCTATTGCATTTCACAAAGTAGGTCCAGTGGCAACCATATGAAACGTAAAAATATAGAAATCGATAGTGAAAGCATAACCCATATCAAGAACTGAGACACTTAAGTAGATAGAGGAGATATCTCGAGCAATACTGAATTAACAGCATGTTACAATCAACAGTTATAAAGGACGTAAGTTATAGATGTCCCCACTATGCGACTACAATTTCAAAATATAAGAACTCAACATCAAAAAACAGTTATTAAAAATAACAATAAATAGTGATGTGTGAAGCAGTAATATTAAAAAAGTCAAACTTCAGTGAAACTCATTAACTAACCATTGAGCCTCCTGCAGCTGTCGAGTAAGCTGTACTTCCTGTAGGAGTGGCTATTATAACACCATCACCTTGCACCTAGAGGAAGTAAAAGAACATGTTATTATTGCCATCATTACAGCATTAGCAAAGAAACATAGCAAGCACGACATGCAAAGAATATAAACAATTGAGATACTAGGCTATCGTAGCACAAATTGACTACAAGCTTCATTCATGTTAGCATTTCACAAAAAGGAGAAAAGTTTGGAATTGGTCTGCTATTTTTTTCTAAAAGACAAAAGTACAAATTTGATCCTTGACCCTTAAAATAGGGATCAAATTAGTTCTTCAATGGGATCATTTAGATCCCTATTTAAAAAGTCAAAAGACTAAAATGGGACTTTAAAATAGTTGGTGATCATTTTAGTCCGTCAAAAGATTTGGTGGACCATTTTATCTTTCTCTCACAGGAAATATGCTTGAAACTTAGCTTTACTGCATGCATTTCTTTCTCCTATGAAAGGATAAATATGAAAATAACATGAAATAGGTCGAACTTCAAAGAGCATACTTGACTCAGACTTTAAATCTGGAAACACTTCAAACACCATAAAAACACAAATGACATAAACTTGACCAATAAACTGCAACCATAACATTATCGTACAAAATAAACAGCAGCAAAAACAAAAAGGTAGGCCATTCTCTTGAGCTGCATTGATATCTTGCAAGTCTGAAGCACGGGTCAAAACCTGACCTGAACAAGTAAATCAGTTAAACGGCTTTCTCCATCAGGTCAATGCAGAAGTCGGACTCTTGCATTTTCAAGGGCTTGTGATGGCTTGATAATGTGGGTGAATCATGGCACTTGGGATATGAAAGTCTTGTATTATAAGTCCTCCAACGATCTGGAAGGAGAATACAAAGTCATCCATGAGGCAGAGGTAAAAAGGGTAAGAAAGTGGAGGGTGAAAAGGGTGAGAGAGTGAGAGGGTGAGGAATAGAGATGAAAATATGAAAGTGAGAGAGGAGAAGAGGGGACGAAGGGTCGCTCCTTGGAGAGAGGGATTGAAGACACTCACAGATATCTTCTATTCAATAACCATCAAAATTCCCTTGCATGTATTCTCTATTTATAATGAAAGATTTTACACCCATGAAAATAATAAAAATTGAGTAATCGAAGTAGGAAAAAAAAATCATTAATCCTTCATAAAAGACAAGTCTTTTAAGAGTGAATCCTCCAAACAAAAGAACACTTAATTATAATATTACGATATGAAGAATCCTAATATGATATAGGCACAAACGTGTTCAAATATGGAAGGTCTAGATAAAGTAGGTAATGAGATTTCAGATAATTATATCCTACATCAGCACTCCTAAAATGCAAAATACTCTTTAAAGAGTTGAAGAGTAGTAGGTAGTGGAAGACAAAGACAGTAAATGCTCACCTACATTTCAAAGTACAACAGAAAGTCGACAGGTACTGTGGCATGGTGATCATGAAAATAATCGAGAACCATTATGAAGGATCTATGGAGTTGTATGACTTAATTACTCGTAAAGAATCTAGGGGCTTCAAAGCTAGAAGGGAACATACATCACTTGTCGGATAAGGAGCATGAGTAGGGATCCTATGTTAGTATGAAGTCAAAAATTACAAAAACATAGAAAAATGTAGGGAACTGCATATCCTATACAACTATATCAACATATAGTGAAGAATTTGATGTCTCCAATGTAAAAACAACAAACCAATCAATAGAAAACTGCAAGAATGCCCAATACAGTGGCTAATTTTGTATTATTTCTGTAATATGAAAGCAAGATACTAGTGATCTACTATTAGAGAGGTAGATCATCTTTTACATAAGACCTAGACGTCGCTAGGAACTCACAAAAAATACTAAGAACATAAAATCAACAATAGCATAAACTAAACCCTAAACAACTCCCCCTTAAATAGCCCTAGAACATAGTAACATAAATGGAACCTTCCAAAACAATTTAAGCATAATTTAATAAACCTTCCTAAATAATTAAACATAATTGAGGAAACATTCATAAACAATTAAACGTAATTTAAGAAATCTTCCTAAACAATTAAACATGATTTAGGAAACCTTCCTAAACATTTAAACATAATTTAGGAAACCTTCCTAAACAATTAAATATAATTTAGGAAACATTTTCTAAACAAATAAACCCTTCCTAAATTGCATAACACAATTAGGAAACCTTCCTAATCAACTAAACAACTTCTCCTTGCTTCCTCTTCCTTACATAATGAATAATAGCTTTCGTAAGGTGCCCTCCCCCCCTCTCTGACGTATCAGTACTCCTCTCCCAAAAAGCCACCTTGTCCTTAAGGTGGAACGAAGGTATTGTCCATCTAGAAGTCCTCTTGGAGCCATTGCCATGCATTTATGCTTTTGACAAATATCGTAGTTGGCCACCATCTCATCTACATCATTTTGTATTCCAATCCAATACAGTTCAGTCATAAGCTTATGATAGGTCTTCTGTACCCCCAAGTGCCCTCCTATGGCACTACTGTGGAACTCCCGCAACAAGTGGGGTACATGTGGTGACGTGATGAGGATGGATGATAAATCAGAACCAAGTCCAAGGTTTTTAAGGAGCACTTCAACTCCTGCTCGTTTAAGAATTTGAGGTATGTAACACAGGACACCGTTTAGGCCAGAGAACTGCTTAGAATTTGAATACCAATACAAACAATAAGTGTTTGTTTGACACTAGGTTCAAGAAGGCTGCCACAGAGAACCTGTAGCAATTGTTTCCGATGGATGGACTATTACTGGCCCGACAGGATGCTATTCCAGAGCTCCTTAGAGTAAAGTGTAGGCTGGTTCACTAAAGCAGCAACCTAGATAAATTCACTTTCTTCAGGAACTTCTTGATCTGGGATTTGAAAAAGTGAACCACTCCTTGAACCAGGCACACCCTCTTGGTGCAAATAGATTCGTTTAAAACCTCCTTCCTTATTCCCATCCGGGCCCTCTCACTCAGCCCATTTCCATTTCAGTTGCCAATCACCACCAATACCCATACTGCTGATAGCCTCACTATTTTCATGAGTAGCATATAGAGGAGCAATGTCCTTACCCTCAATGCTTTTCTGACGAGAAATCAATGGACTATGTAAATTTTTATCAAAATCACTTCCTGCAACAGCATCAGATACATAGTCATCACCCTCTCTTTGTCCAGTCTCTTCATCTTCATCAGAAAACTTCATATAACTAGGTAATACCCCATGATAAAGTGCCAGCCTCTGCTTAATCCTTTTGTCATTAGTAAATGCAAAAATAGTTGATGGACCCAGTTCTGATGAAAACAATGATAGAAGTTCCCAGAGTGTTGACTATTATAGTGGTATGTGATGCAAACATTGCACTCATATGGTTTTGAAAAAAAAACTCATCGTTGTGGCAACTTGGACAGCTGTAGGAAGACATGGAAGGAAATAATAGTCAAGTGTGATGACTCAATTCAATGCCATAGGATGCGTTACATTAAATGTTTTTATGGGATACTTCCCATGGGTTGTTTCTCCATAGAGAGCATTACGGCATCAGTGCCTTCACGCGAAGCAATTGTTATATCAGAAACTTCTACTCTAGTTGGAGTTGGGTGATTAATAATGCTCTCCAACATATTTGTTGCAACAATAACAGGCTTTTGCATGCTGCGACATCTTCAAATGATCTCCTCCTGGTCACTGAGCTTGTTAAAATTGGACACGAAACCCCCAAAATTGAATTAAGTGCTCCAGTGAACTTATTCTGGCTGAGATCAACATAAATAGAACTTCGTATATGATCAATAACACTCCCCACCTCATCACACAAACCATTTGCCGCAAATTTAAATAATTCAACTTCTACAGCTTATTAAAACCAGTGATGATGTAGGGATATGAAGAGAAGTATACGTATGGTTGGCATTTTTGCTACTGGACTGAATGTCTCGCTATAGTTAATAGTTAATGCCAAATTCCTAATTGAAGCCTTGGGCTAAAAGTTTCGCTTTATACCTCTCCACTTGACAATCTGGGCGATATTTGGTTTTAAAGGTCCATTTACAACCTAGGATAGTTGTATGAGGGGGTGGGGTAACTAGTGACCAAGTGCCTTGTTTATGAAGGGCAAGAAATTTCTCGGACATGGCAGCCCGCCAATGTGGGAACTTAATCGCCTGGGAATAAGTGGAGGGAGTGGAATCTGGCTTGATGGTAGTGAGCAGGTCAAAGATTCTTTTGGGGCGGTGAATGCCTGTTTTGAGTCTAGTCTGTATGGGATGAATTGAGACAATGGGTGGGAGTTGGTGTTAAGGTGGAGGGGAGGTTTGAGTTGTTGAAGGGGAAGAGATGGGAGTGGACGTAGGAATCGGAGAGGTGCTTGAGAGAACTGATGATGAATGGAGGTTAGAATTCGGGGAAGGTTGAGGAGTGGGTGGTATGATGGGTTCAGGAAGGGAGTTGGATAGGGTCGAGGTTGGAAGCAGAAGATATGAACAGTGTGGTAAGTTGGGGATGGGGACGGATGTGTTGGGGTGGTTGGAGGGGGAGAGGTTTTTGTATGGAAAGATATGTTCATGGAAGACAACATGATGAGAGATGTGTAATTTGTTGGTGAGGAGGTTTAAGCATCGATAGCCTTTCTTGGAGGTGGAGTAACCTAGGAAGAGACATTCTTGAGAACGAGGATGGATTTTGGTTGGTGTGGTTGGTTGGAGCCATGGAAAGCAAATGCAGCCAAAGGTTTTGAGGTGTGAGTATGTGAGTTGGATGTGGTATAATGGAGAGCTGTCTGTGATATGGTTGGTGGTTGGTGACAGAGTAGAGACCATTATGGCTGTGTCCACGAATGAGAATGTGATTGTCTAGAAGACCCTTGATGAGTAAGCCATTAGAATCAAAAGAAATGGAGCAATTGTTGTCAGTGGTTAGTTTACGTATGGAAAGGAGGTTATGGGATAACAGGGGAACATGAAGTAGGTTGCGTAGATAAAGCTTATGAGTGAAATATGGAAGTGGAAGAAGTCATTTTCCAGTGTGGTGTATTAGTAGTGAGCTGCCATTAGCTGTGGAGTTAGTTTCTGATCCAGCGTAAGGAGCTGGGTATTGAAGGTTTGATATGTCTGGCGTGAGGTGAGCAGATGCCGCAGAGTTGAGAACTAATTCGCTGAGAGAGGTGGGTTGTGAATTGGTTAGAAGAGCTCTCGGTGAGGGATTTGAAGTGGTGTTGTAGTTGGAGTTGTAGCGGCGCCAGCAAGTTAATGCCCCATGTCCAGTTTTGTCGCAGATTTGACAAACGGGTTTGGTGTTTTCAGTGGGTGGAATGCGGCTGTTGGGGAAGTTCGGTCTGAAGGGAGCTCCACGACCCTTGGATCCTCTGTAGTTGGAGCAACCGCGAGGAGTGTATGAGCGGTTGGAGTATAGGGCGGTATTGTCCAGCACCAGACTGGTAACCCTCTGAAAATCGGTCTGCATATGAATTTCCTCACTACAGAGAAGGGAGTAGAGCACATCTAGACTGATGGGAAGTTGACTTGTGTGAATGGTTGTTTTGAATGGATTTTAGGATGGAGGCATCCCATTCAGTATGCGGATAATGATTTCTTCATAGTCAAGTAATGATCCAGTAACTACTATATTGTCAACTAGAGCTTTGATCTTGGCCAAGTATTGCATCATTGTAAGATCCTTCATATGGATGTGATACAGCTCGTTTTTAAGCTGGATTACAAGGGATCTATTTATGGGTTAAAGGCATAGTTCTAGCGTGAGCCAGATATACCGAGCTGATGAGAGGGTCAAGATGTAAGGGAGAACCGAAGGAGAGATTGTAGATAGAAGAACCGATATCAGGTTCCAATATATGAGGTTCCACAGCTGGTATTCTGCTGGATTGGTTTTAGCTAGAGATTGAGGTGGTTTGGGAGTGCTACCTATGAGGTATCCTTCAAATCCATTCGCAGAGAAGAGCTGGAAAATCTGCAATCTCCAGACCGGATAATTGTCACTTGTAAGCTGAATGGGAACTATGAGTTTAAGATTCGTCATGAGGAACTTGAGAGATGACGGAATAGTGAAATCCACCATAGTTGTAGATAGGGAGGAGGTCGGTTGAGCTTCTGAAGATGAGCCCTGATCTGCCATAGGTTAAGAAGGGTGTTGTAGTTTCAAAAGCTCTGATACCATGAAATCACCTGCAGGTTAGTCATGAAGACAAAGTAGAAGAAGGAGGTAGCAGGGAAAACATTACTTTCATTCATGATACTGTTGTAACACAAGTGTTTGTATATATAACCAAAAAGGGTTATGGATGTAGGAAACCAGTAAGCCGTTGGTGACAAGCTGCGGAACAGAGTAATGGAGACGGTACTGTGATGAGGTAGTTGGAACCGGATAAGAGTTGTGTTCTGCCAGTGATTGTTTATATGCTCTAACAGTGAGAAACAACTAAAAAATAAAATGCCCTTAAACAATGGAAGAGGCTTTCGACTCATTGAGATTGGAGTGACAAGCTATGAAACCTTTTAGGATTGAGGGAGAGGAGAATACAAATGGAAAAGTTAAAGCATAGACACTATGCAGAGTGAGTAAATAATGTGCGAAGCTCAGTAGGGCACAAAACATAAGCAAGTGTGCGAGGCAAGCACGCGGCATGCAAAGCACAGCCAGCAAGGGGGGGAAAACATGTAGTACGCAGGGATGGCAAGGCAAGGAAGTGAGTGTATAGCTGCATGCATGCATGTGGAGAAGCTAGATTAGAGAGCGAAGGGAGGGAAGGGACTATGCATGGGAACAACAAGGTAGGGAGCCAAGTGTGTGGTGAACGGGTACACATGGGAGCAGGTCAAGGCAAAGAGATTGGTGAGGGAGGGGAGCAGTCTGGGAAAGTCAATCTTATTCAAATATAATGTTAAGGAAAATCTATTTCATCTATAATTGATAGAATGTGAACCAATATATAGTGACATAAGAGGATACAAAAATGAAACAAACAAAGAGAAGAAAAGTACTAATTATGAAGATATATAATCAATATATATCTAATATAGCACTTTCCAATTCTAAAAAACTACCTAATATATCTTGCGCCAACAAACACTATTCATTTAAATAAATAAAGATGAAGAGGGCTACATCAAAACTAAAGAAGCAGCAATCAAAAAGAAAAAAAAAAGATGAAGTCAGAGTGTTTAAAAAGTGAATAAAAAAAGAATGTTGTAGTACTTTTGTTATGAGACGCCTATGCTCGTAACACTCAATTTTAGAGAGGTATGGATTAGAACCACGATCCACAACAACTTCATTGAGAACATCAAATATTTTTCCAGGCATTGGCATCCCATTTCGTAATATTTCACATTGTAAGCGCATTCTGAGAGTTATATAAACTCCAAGTGAGTTGTTCCCATGTATTAAAGCCTTCAAATCCGGTCTATAATCTTCAAACTGTACCACAGTAGAGATAACTAGAATTTAGAAAAGTATGGCATAAGTGAAAGTTTAATATGGACAAGTGAAGACGTTGACATACATCATGTGATGTGAGAAATCCTAGAGACCCAAGATTAAAAGAAACAACAGGAGGTACGGCACCTCTGAATAAGTTTGATGCATGTAGAATTACACCATCACCTCCCAAGCATGTCACAAAATCAACTCGCTCATGAAGGTCACTGCATTCCAACAATTGCGTCCGTAAGCAATAGAAAGCAAATTTAACAAGCTATACATCCCCCGCCATGGTCTTTACTGTTTATATACCTGGTATCCTGGATATAGAAAGTTTGGACAAACCCAAAACCTGGAAGCCTTGCAAATACATCATGCACATCTGGTTCAACAAGAACATTCATTTTCTCCTGATGATAGAGGAATGATGCCACCTGCAAATCAAAATAGAGAACAGAAATAACCAAGCTTTCAAAAAAAGAAAAAAAAGTAAATCATGACAAACAAGAAGCAAGCAACTACGTAAGAAAAATTTTTAAGGGTCTGAAGGTTTGATAAAAAAAATTGTCAATTTAAGTATGTTTATTCCACTCCTAGAATAGTTGAGCTATTTTTCTTTTCCCGTATTATCTATCAACAGACTGAAAGCTATTAAAATCAAAAGGATGCCTTCTACTTCACATCGGCCTTGAAACTAGATCTGAATCATTCCCACTGCTTTGGATAGAATTTTTAAGATCGTTTGGTCATCCATCATATGCCACATTAATTTCACAATGGATGGCTCTAATTGCATAAGATGAAAATTACAATTTCAAAGTACAGGTTGTTTTAAATGGCTTGGAATCAAATTGTGTTGTTGATAATATCTTGTTTGTATTTGACAATTTCAATTGTAGAAATATTCAAGTAAAATTAGATATTTAAAAGGAATTCTATATAGTTAAAAGGATTTCTATATATTGTTCAGTTATCCTTGAAATTTTTATATGCTTAATGAATAGTCGCATCACATGAAAATTGATGAAACTTGATTCCTATATAATTTTATTTTGTAGATCACAATCAACTATATAATTTTTATTTTAAAGATTATGTAAAGAGATAGGTCCAAGCAAAATAGGGGGAGATTAGGCATTCTCCTCCAAGGAAAAAAAGAAAATTTATCAAGAAATTCCTCTTATGACTTCATAATTAAAAATCATTTTTCTACAGCCTCATGTGACAGGTTCATGCTGAAACTTAACAATAATAATCCCCGTGATTGATGTAATATAAAAGAACTAAAGTGGTGGACACATGTGAAACCTCAAAAGACTAACTATTCATTAAGCATATAAAATATTCGAGAAAAAATTAGATATTTAAAAGGATTTATATATATTGTTTGTTATCCTTGATTTTTTTTAAGTTCAATGAATGGTTACGTTACCTGAAAATTAATGAAATTTGATTCCTAGATAATTTTTATTTTGTTGATCACAATCAACTATATGATGATGAGTTTAAAGATTATATAAAGAGATAGGTCCAAGCAAAATAGGGGGAGAATAGCCTTTCTCCTCCAAGGGAAAGAGAAAATTTATCGAGAAATTCCTCATATGACTTCATACTCAAAAATCATTTTTCTATAGGCTCACGTGACACTTTCATGCTGAAACTTAACAGCATTAATCCCAATGATTGATGTAAATAAAAAAGAACTAACGTGATGGACACATGTGAAACTTCAAAAGAACTAACCATTCATTAAGCATATAAAATATTCGGGTAAAATTAAATATTTAAAAGGATTTTTATATATTGTTCAATTATCCGTGAGATTTTTCTATACTCAATGAATTGTTACATCACATGAAAATTGATGAAACTTGATTACTATATAAATTTTATTTTTTATATCATAATCAACTATATGGCTTTGAGTTTAAAGATTATATAAAGAAATAAAACCATTCAAAATAGAGGGAGGATAGGCATTCTTCTCCAAGGAAAAGAAAAAATTTATCAAGATATTCCTCTAATGACTTCATAGTCAAAAATCATTTTTATATAAGCTCATGTGACAGTTTCAGCATGAAACTGTTAGACCGGTCCAGCCAGTCTACGCGGGACCGGCCCAGGCACGAACGAGGCAGAACATCTCCGCCTCTTGCATTAGCCGCACGCACCGCAAGTCCACGGGAGCTCATTTAGGAAAGTTTTTTTGATGAATTTTAGGAGGAAAATTGAATGTAGCGATTGTTTAGGGATTTCATTTTGATTTGTATGCATTAAATACTTTGTTTTCCTAGGGTTAGGACATCTGGAATTTGGCTGAAATTTGAGATCTCTTTGATTTCTTTTGGGCTCTAGCGGCGTCCAGAGATTGGGAGAGAACGATCCTCCTCTCAAATAGAGGATCAATTGTATCTTACTAATTTACGTTTCTATTTCTTCAAATAATATAAATTTCTACTATTTTCCTGGTTTTGTGTGGATATTTGCGGAGAATTCTCGTTGTTTTCCGAATATTTATAGGAAATACTTAAGATCTACAAGTGTTTCCTAACAAATTGGTATCATAGCAAGTCTTGGGACCGGTGGAGGGCTGTTTTCGGCAAATTCCTGCAGTGGTTTTTGGCCTAGAAAAGAAGGAAGTTGCTGTTTTTTGAGTCCCAAATTCAGATTTTGCAAATCTACAAACTCCGAATTGTGATGGCGGCCAAGAAGGTGGATGTTTGGAAGAAAGGTTTGAAGGGGAGATGAATCAAATCAAGACAACGGTGGAGGAAAGTATTTCCTCCATGGAAGGACAAGTAGGGCATGATGAAGAAAATGTTGGAAATCCAAAACCAAATGACGGCTTCCATGGCAAAAGGGGTAGAAGGGAAAAGCACGAATTCTGAAATTCATAGGGAGGAAGATGAGGTGGAAATCGCGGAGGGCGAAAGAAGGAAACCCTATATGGAGCCTTTCCAGAGGGAGGATAGAGGAGGTAGATATGGGGAAAGGGATGGATATGAAGGGGCGGAGCAAAGGGGTGCTGATTGGGAATGCCGGGGGGACATTATGATCGCCGAGGTACTGATTTTGAAGGAAGAATATGAGAATTTGAAGGAGGTTTGGGCTAGGGTAGGGCAAGGGAAGATCGGGAGATGTGGGATGGACCGAGCACTTGGGAGAGAGGAGGCTATGGAAGAATAAGAGGGAATGGTGGAGATCAGAAGGTGAGGAAGCTGAAGATGCCCATACTTGAAAGGGAATGCATACGGTTGGATTTATAAGGTAGAGAGGTACTTCACCGTCAATGGGCCGACGGAGGAGGAGAAGCTAACAGCGGCAGGCTTGTGCTTGGAAGGGAAGGCACTGTATTGGTACAAATGGAGAGACTAGAGGAGACCTATCAGGAGCTAGAGGGAATTCAAGGACTGCATAATAAAACGTTTCCAAATGGACTGGAGAGGAGATTTCTATGAGCAGTTCTTTGCTCTGGTGCAAGAGGGATCAGTAGCAAACTACCGGGAGCGGTTCGAGCACCTGGCTAATAGGGTGGAGCGATTATTAGATATTGTATTGGAGGGGAACTCATGAAGGGGTTGAAGGCAGAGATCCAAGCGGCAGTGAAAGTTCTGATGCCTAGTGACTTGAGGGAGGCCATAAAATTGGCACAGCTGGTGAAAAATTAGAATAATCTGGAGAAGGGAGCCAGGAGCAGCAGCTCATGAGGCTCTTACAAGACGACGACCATTCTTCTAGCACCCAAGGGGCCTGCATCAGGCAATATTAATGAGACCACCAAGGAGAAGCCAGTAGGAGGGAGTGAGAAAAATTTCAAGAGGTTGGGAGAGAAGGAGATGCAAGAGAAGAGGGCAAAGGGTTGTGTTTCAGGTGCGAGGAGAAGTATATGTCATGACATCATTACAAGGACTGCACTTTTCAGGTTCTCACCATCTGTGATGATGAGGAAACTGATGAGGGAGGCAAGGGGGAGTTAGAGGAAGAGATGGAGGAGAAATTGCATTTGGATCTGGCCGAAGTTTCCCTGAACTCAGTGGTAGGATTTACTACGAACCATACCATGAAGGTGAAGGGGGAGATAGAGGGCAGGGAGGTGGCGGTACTAATTGATAGTGGGGCTACCCACAATTTCATTTCCACTTAGGTCATCGACCAATTGGGAGTGAAGTTGGTGAACACCGGTTGTTATGGGGTAATGATGGGTATAGGGAAGGTGGAGAAAGGCCAGGGGATCTATAGAGGAGTGATGATGACCATCCATGGGATTTAGGTAAGGGAGGACTTTCCCCCACTATAGTTAGGAAGTACTGATGTCATCCTAGGGATGAAGTGGATGCAAACCTTGGGAGAAACCAAGGACAATTGGGGAGCATTCACGATTAAATTAATGGTGGATGGGAGAAAGGTGGTTATAAGGGGAGATGCAGGGCTATCAAAACCATGTTATCACTTAAGAACATGGTTAGAGGCCTACAAGAGGTGGGGGAAGATTATCTGGTGGGACTACACAAGCTGGATGTGATCAGGATGGAGGAGGGAGTGGATGTTTCTCTTTCAGTGCAACCCTTGAGTCAGCAATTTGGTAAGAATTTTTAGCCACCTCAAGAATGACCACCTCCATGATAACACGAGCATATCCCCACCTTGAGGACAAGGTAGATCTTTGAGAGGGGAGTATTGTTATACAAGTCCACGAGGGAACGGCCCAGGAACGAACGAGGCGGAACATCTTCGCCTCTTGCATTAGCCGCGCAAACCGCAAGTCCACAGGAGCTCATTTAGGAAGGTTTTTGAACGAATTTTAGGAGGGAAATTGAATATAGGGATTGTTTAGTGATTTCATTTTGATTTGTATGCATTATGTGACAACCGGTTCATCCGGCCTATTCAACTAAATCGGTCGGCCTTCCCTATTAATCGTGAGCAGGTAGTTTCACGAAATAGAGACGTTCGCGAAACAGAGGGAGCGGGCGGACGGCTGCGTCCAGGAGAGCGAGGTAAAGTTCATTTTTTCCAATTTTAGCAAATTATAGCGTTTAAGGATGAGAATAATCAACTCCTTTTCATTCCCACAGTTAAGGAAGTGCTAATTTGGGAGAAATTTCAAAGAACGAGAGAAGTGACTGAGCAGGAAGAAGGAAAAAGGTTGGTTGGATTTTCTTTCGAATTTTCGTATAAATTTCCTTCTTTAACTTCATTTAAAGTGAACGATATGTTTCTTAAAGGAAAAGAGGGGAGTGAAAGCAAGGAGAAAGAATTTTGAAAGAGGAAGAAGGATTTTAGGGAATTTGGAAAATTCCCATTGTAAGTAAATTTATATCATGACAAATTTCTTATTAAGTTTTATTTGCAAGTTAAGTTTTCATGAAAAATTTTATTATTGATTTTAGAGATTTTGGGAAGGAAGAGATTGAAAGCTATAGAAGTTCGATTTAACAAGAAATCCTGGAAAAGAAAACTATAGTAAGATAGAGGTAATGTTATAGAAGGAATTAAATATTGTTAAGGCATTCAAATTTGATTTAATACTGATTTCTGCCGGATATGAGGGATGGGCAGCCGACGATTCGAGCGGGATTTCCTGCAGAGAATCGGGATGAGCGGCTACAGGTAATCATTTTAGCGAATTTTTTTTTTATTTTGATTTGTCTGTCTTTTTGACTTCACCGTGGAGGTCAACAAATACTAATTAAATCATTATGTTATTGTGAACAGTTTTCATTTCTAGACGAATATTGGAAGAGAAAATAAAGTGGATCATTATGAAATTTTCTTTATTGTATTTTGTAGTTCGTTTCGAAAGAAGCATGCATATAATTGTTTAAAGCTTATTATTTATATATTTTTTTGAAAACTATTATAAGAAGTAACTAAATGTTTGTACAAGTATGAATATATGAAAGAAAGAAAACTTACATATAATAAGAAAGTATATATGAATGAAAGAATTCAAATAAATAAATGTTAAGGAAATGATACAAACATAAATGAATCAAAGGGAAATGAAAAATATTATGCATGCAAAAATTACAGAAGTTCACCCCCATATGGTATTGGCTGGGGAAGCAACGTACCCATGTACGTAAAATAAGGAAAAGGATATGAAAATAAAAATGGAAATGGAAATAGAAAAGGATTCTACCCTTGATACATTTAGACGGTGCTCCTATACAATAATGACAACAGGTAAAATGAATGTTGAGAATGGTTAGTTTGGTTCTAGATTGATTAAAGTTTTATTTGTGTTTAGTGGCTCTTTAGTTGATGAAAAGTTTATGTAATTTTTTTTTATGAAATGAGATGAATTGATATTATCGTCTGACTTTCAGTTCCCGCCTCGTTAAATCGAGTATCCGGGCCGGGTCGTGACACATTAAATACTTTGTTTTCCTAGGGTTAGAGCATCTGGAATTTGGCTGAAATTTGAGATCTCTTTTATTTCTTTTGGGCTCTAGCGGCATCTAGAGATTGGGAGAGAACGATCCTCCTCTCGAATAGAGGATCAATTGTATCTTGTTATTTTCTGTTTCTATTTCATCAAATAATATAAATTTCTACTGTTTTCTTGATTTTGTGTGGATATTTGTGGAAAATTCTTGCTATTTTTCCGAAGATTGATAGAAAATACTTGAGATCTATAAGTGTTTCCTATCAGAAACTTAACTGTATTAATCCCTAAGAATTGTTGTAAATACAAAAGAACTAACGTGATAGACATGTACATGTGAAACCTCAAAAAAGAAATAAAGACCTACATGAAGGACTATTAAGAACACACCAAGCTTGTTGATATAAACATCAAAAGCTGATGTGGGATACAACAAATATCTAAATTAAAGATTATTAAGAATGCAAACCTACATGAAATGTGATGTGGACATCAGTTGGAAATTCTACCGTCTACGTGGTCATAGATCTACGGCCACGATCTGCCCGATGTATTTCAGATTTTAGTTTGGTCATTTTATTTTGATGTATTTTATTTCTGCATTTTTTCCCTTTTTACCCTTGCTTGAGGGATTGAGTCTTGTAGCCCCTCGAGGGTATTTTAGTCTTTTATTTCATGTCTTTGTATTAGGCTATTTATAGCCTTCATCTTGTACTTTTGATGGTTAATGAATGATTATGAGAAAATTTCCTGCATTCGTCTCCTTGAAGCTTTTGTGAGAGCTTGAGAGAAAATTGTGAGTTTGGTGGATCCTAGGAGAGGCCACCCGTCATACCCAACAGTCACCACCGGTGGCTCTTGGTTTTCCCCTCCTTCCTTCTTTCCCCAATCCTCCACCACCGGCCCCTTTCCACCAACAACCACCACCCACATAATCCCTCCCACCAAAGCTCATTTCAACCTAACCACAAATCCAAGTCCTTCTTTCCTCCATTAGATTTTTCCTACCCACTTCCCATGCCATGTGGACCGCCGGCCACCTTGCTTGCCTCCATGGATGATGAAATAATGTCATCTTAATGTTTTCCTATTGAGTTCAAGTAAGTTGGGGAATTCTTTTCTTCATTTGAAATTCAAAATTTGAATTTCAAAGTTTCCTAAATTGGAGAGCCATTTTAGGAAAGTTTTAAACCTCTTTCATGACAAAATTCAAATTTGATTTAGGTGGAAATTTTCTTCTCCTAAATTAAAGGGATCCATTTGGAAAGAGTTTTAATTGCTTCCACATAACACACTCCCCTCTCCTCTCACAATGCCGCCGGCCATACCCATGGTCCCCACCCCCTTAATGCTACATTAATGCTCCTAATTACTTGTCTTTTGAAATTCAAATCTCAGATTTTCCCTCCACTTCTTCTTAAAATCTGAGATTAATTTTGGCATGAAGAATACAACACTTTTCCCCCACTCTACCTAGTTCTCTCCTCAACCTAACTTCTTCCTTTCTCCACACCGCCACCTCCCTTCCACTCCCTCTCAATTTTGTTTTCTCTTTACATGATTGATGCTTGACCGATTCGAAGTTTGATTCCTTCCTCACAATCAATGGTCAAGGTGGCGTGGATCTTTTCTAATTTCTTTCGTCGGCATGATTCAAAGCATGGACGGATCTCTAAAATTTCCGTCCTTCCATAATTGCCGTGGAAGGAGTAACTAGTGGAAGGTTCGTGGTGAATTTCGATGCTTCTCCGAGAAGGTAATTTTCTTCCTTGACTCATTTACTTTCAAATTCTAATTTCCTTGAGAGAAGTTGTTCAAAGCAAGAGATTGTGTCTACTTATTGCCATCCACTAGTATTCGTAGGAATTGTTACTTCTTAGCTATTGGATCTCGTTGTTAAACAAGGATTATGTTGGAAACTATCCTGCATGCATTGCTTTAATTTTCCTACGTGTTTTGATTCCGTTTAGCATTTTGTGTAGTTTGGCCTAAGCGGAAGTGACCGTTTATTAGTTTTATTTTGTTGTTTTAATCACTAATAACGAAATCTGAAATTGATCTTAAAATATTTTGTGCAAGTTTCCGAATTATGCATGTAGTTCTGCATCAAAATGACCCACCAATCTTATTTAACAACAAGCAATTTACTGCCACAAGCATCCAAATTGATAAGCCTTGTTCCTAGACTGAACTAGAATGATGATTAATGATTTAGGCCAGTAGTATGTCAGATAATTTAGGATGATTTGGGTTATACACTCTAAAAAGTTTATTATTCAACCATCACAGGTTCCATGGTTCTTCCTATACTTCATAATTGGGAGTACACAGAATGCATCATATTTGGGCGTAGACACAACTATCTTGTATACTAGCTATGAGAAGAAGCTTAATACAAGCATGCTACCTGATCCACAACCTAAGTAATATAAGGGCACCATGGTTCATGTAGCAGTGATTACAAGCTTTAATTTCAACTTAAACTATTGGTCATAGCTGATTTTAACTTGAAAATTAAATTTGTAAAGGCATCCAAACATTTTAGTTGCAATGAATTCAATCAAGCATGTATTACAGGATTATAAGGCCGCATAAGTTATGCTTTGCTCTTTCATAATGGCAACTAAGGAAAAGCAGATATAAAAAGTGCCTCATAAAGTCAAATCTACCTCTTTAGCTTCCTCCATAAGCTCTTGCCCTAACTTTTTCATTAGCAGTACAGTCTTTGGAGGAGATTTCCACATAAGCATCTGTTGTTGGGTGCTTGGATGTGTGAAAGCCAAAGAAGATTCTGTTACTTTCTCTCTGGTGCAAGTGAACCCATCAGTTCGGACTAAAAACATTTCTGCTTTTTTCCTAGATTGGACCCTGACAACACCAGTTGCAGAAGCGCACATATTGCCCTCCATCTGATCCAAACTATCACTTGTTGAGCTGGTAGAGAGCTTAGCATTCTCCAATTTTTTTCTGTCTGTGGCAGTAGATATAGTTTGACCACCAAAGTTACTTGTATAAATAGAACCCTTTGTTTCATCAACTGCAACCATATAATTTTTTTCTTCATGATAACCATTAACACCCAATTTTAATAATGAAGAGCTTCCATTCTTGAGATTTTTTCCATTGCCCAAAAAAGTATGGGTAGCTCCATATTCATAACCTCTATTTTTGGGTTGTCCGTTTGAACTTTCTGGCTTCATGCACTGCGATATGTAAGTATTTGTAGGGGTTTCTTGAATCTGGAACGGAAGCTCGTATGTCTTTCTTGAAATAGATGCATCCTCAAACTTTTTCCTAAAAGAACTAAGATAGGTTTTAGGAGAGGTTTTTCTACTTCGGAAAAACTGAGTCACTTCTTTTTTAGAAAAAATATCGCACTCAGGAAATTGTTCTTTGAAAGGTTCATTGTTAAAAGAATAATACGAAGAATTTCCCGCATCAACACCACAACTTAGCACTGAGTCATGCATCACTGTCAGGTTAGGGGTCAGTTTTCCATTCTGGTTGTCCTTTAGACTGGTTGATATATCTTGTTCGCTCAGTTTTCCAGTAACATGTTCAACTGCAGTAAACCCATAATCATGTTGAGCATCTAGACTTGCGTCACCCTGTACCTTCTTATGTATCATAGCCAATAAATTATGATCCTCCAAGCCTTTCACAGTTTTTAATGGTTTCAAATCATGTGTTAGAGAGCTCATTTTAACAGAATTCATTTTAGAACGTGCAATATATTGTCTCCATCTCGAAATCATAGCAGAAGTTCTATTAACTCCTTCTTGACTGTGAAGGTAGAGTGGATTCCTTGTGGGATCTGATACCAACAAAGCAAATTGCTCAACTTGCTCCATAGATGGAGCAGTTCCAGCTTCAACAGGCAAATTTATCACCTCTATCTTCCCAGATGAAACAGCCAGCTTCATAGCAGAGTTGTAGTATTCATCCTTGGATTCTTCTGCTCTTAGATCAACAACTGTTTTAAAATTCTCCTCTAGTAACCACGCAAGGCCTTCATCCGTTACCTGGCCTCCTCTCCAAAAAGCCACTTCATGATCGTCCAATGCATTGCCTTCCTTCATGGTGGAGAAAAAAACAACGGCCCAGTTTGCAAAAATTGTTGGACAGGGACATCCATCTCTGCGTGGAAAGCCAGCATCATAGCAGACATTCTTTAGCCTCTGTAATCGCCTCCAGATGTTAGATCTATTATCTTCAAAAGGTTTGAAATAGTTTGCAAGTGCAACTTCTAAACTCTCACAGCACCTTTTCATTTCATCTCTGAAGAGAGCAAGTGGTGGAAGCTTGCCATCTGCAGTATTTAAAGCTGAAGCTTGAAATGAATTAACCAAAGAAGACCTTCCTGATAAAACTTCTTCTCTGCCTCTAGTAAGTAATGCCAGCATACAGGCAACCACCGCAATCACCTTTTCTTCCAAGACATGAATATCCTCAGACGGAGTCTCATAAGAAACGGGGCATTCTCCAGTCTCTGGATTGCATATAGTTTCCATTAGCGAAGTGTGAAGATGCTCTGCGGCTCTAAAGATTCTACAGTATGCCTCAACTTCAGCAATGTCACCGGGAAGAGGACCAATCCACAATAGTTGTGACGGATCATTAGTTTGCATGGTCTAAACACTCAAAAAATAAATAAATAAATAAATTTCCCGGTGATTTCCAACTACTAAGCAAATAGGTAAATCAGATGTGAAGTAATTATGATATTTCAAAGAAAGGATGCAGGAATTGCTGTATATAGAAGATTACCAGTCCATCATGAATAAAACAGGTCATGATATGTCGGTTAATTCTGGTGGGAAAGCAGACTGATAATGTGCCATCCACAAAAGTTACAAGGCTTAAAATGAACAGCTCAATGTTAAGAGATAGGCAAGCACCCTTGCATTATTTCCAAGGCTTCCTCGAACAGGTTAATAAACAAGATACAAACAAAGAAAGCAAACTAGAGCCCCACACCACAGGTTGATAGGTATCTAGTTGCACATCAAGAGACAATTTTGAAATTAAACAAGATCAGAAAGAGCACAATCGGACATTTGGTAGGAGCATGTTGTTTACCCTTAAAATTGGGGATTAATTAATTGGTCATAATTAGCTATCCCTTTGATTAATTTATGCTCTACTTCTTTGAAATTAAGCACAATCAAGTTGACTTGATTAATAAACAGTCTGATTAACATTTAAAAAAACAAGTTTTAAATTTAAGCTTAAACAATCTTGTTTAATTAAGTTTAAACTTAATTAAGACTAATCACTCTAATCAAAATGAGTGTTCTTTTTCTTTTTGGAAAAAAAACAAAGGCTTATGGGTTGGATCCACATAGATCAGACACAACAATCTATTTACTCATTCAATCACAATGCAACAAAGCCCTAGGCACCACAACTGTTGCAAAACCTAGCCACATCATGCTCTTTATGATTGCAAGACCCTCCTCTCTTCTCAATTGAAAAGCTTATTGTTAACCTTGATATCAATCCCACCATTGATCAAATCAAACACAACGGATGTAGTATCATGTAAGTCCAAATCGAATGTATCAAACTAACTAGCCACAATGGTAGTTGTCCAATGCGTCACATAGCCCTTGGCGTGAACCATGTCATGCTCTACTAAGCCTTTGCTAAAAAACTATCATGTATCCTTCTTAACATGATAAAACCCAAAAAGATCATGAGATGTTTGTTTTTTTATCACATTTCCCAATATATTAATTATCCTATACTGGCTCTATAACTTTTTGTTGTCAAGTAATAAGAACTAAAACTCCAATAGCCCAATACAAGATTAGAATTATTGGAGTTCCCTCTTGAAGGGCATATCTATAACAAATGAAATTAAAAATAATTGCATTGCGTAAATATCATGGAATAGTAGCAAATAATAGTCCTCTCTGGTGAACCCCCATTTATGCATAGCCAATTCTTAACGGATCCAACATATCGTCATCATGTTCTTATTATTTGAATAATAGTAATGGTGGTTCTCATTGCCACTAAAGTAGCTTAATCACTTATAGCCGCATGCCCACCTCGAGCCTACTATTATATAGCATGGCTAACAATCATCTGACATACATCGAGGGGATGGCCAACTGAACTTTATCATGTACATTTCCTCATTAGCTGAGTAAAAAAACTCGAATATAGGAAATAAATATAAAAAATAACTTTTATAGTAGTTTTAAAACTTTAAAAATACAAATATTAGACAATTTTAAAATAGCATAAGGCCTCTAGCACCAATTAATTATTTAGTAAAATTACTTAGGTCAAAAGTTCTAAACACAATTCATATTCACAAGAAATTTTTATAGAATAATTAAATGTTCCAAACTCAACCTAAGTATTTTAATAGATCAATGAGTAATCCAGGTGATCATAATGTTCAACAAATTACCAAAGTGCATTTAATGCTCTTAGGGTTCTAACTCATACATTCAATATCAACTTGATTGAGCATAACAGTATGATAAAGCTCCAAGTTTGATCTTGATATTCAAATCATAAGTCACACATGATGGCATGCCAAATGCCAAAATTATGAACCTCCTTTATGGAAAACTTGTAAAAAAATATAAGCACATACTATAAATCAAGTAAATTACAAATATCACCCGCAATATAAATGATAAAAATTGGACTTTTCACGCTTTATAAGCTGTAAGACCCATTGTTGAACCTTTCAATGGATGTAAGGTCCAACCCAATTGATGGGGCCAATGCAAGATTCAGTATTTCATCAAAGAAAAGTTATGTTATAGGACTTCCAATGCATGCAAGCCCCAACCTAATCAATGGGCCAACATAAAGCCAACAATCCCATCAAAATCAAACTGATTAAGTCATTCTACTAGTAGAATGAGGTTATAAGACCCACCAATCGAGTCACCTTACTTAAAAATCATCATTTCCATATAAGAGGAAAATAAGGCCCATCTTTATAGGTCATTCTAACATGAAAATAACAAACCTACATGAGAATCTCTTTAAATCTAAGGCTATAAGTTTTGTTCAAGTAAGCCTCTCTAACAAGTTAAGTAGTAAGTCCTAATACTCAAATAAATAGCTAAAACGATAATGTTATAGTTGGCCACTCTAATAATAAGAACTCCACTTACAGAAAAAAAAATAGATAAAGGGATGATGCAATAGCCTCTCTGTTTGATCAGGCCGGCGTGATTAAGTAACCTTCTAAGAAACATTTTGTTAAGAAACCGTGTAAACAAGCCAACCATGAGAGAGCAGTGGCCTTGTTTAACTGTCCAATAGCTATTGACTTAAGCAGTTAAACATGATCAAGCTCAAGTTACTAAAGTACAAACAATCTTGTTCAAGTCCACCTCATTAATTATCAAATCAAAAGAGCTCAACGTTGACAAGAAGCAAAATCGATGACCATCAAATGAATTAACATTTTCTCTATTAATGGCTTTGATCACTCAAGAAAAGGTTTCTATTTTTCACCAAATAGCGTCACAAGACATCATAGAATTTAAAAGAGACTGCATGTTTTTAGAGAAAATTGCTGATTTTGTTTGGTGAGTGCATGTATAAAAATCTATGTTGCATCGATACGGATACGGTGACACAGATACAACACGATACTGATACGGGACACGTCAATTCTTTAAAATACAGGATACGGTTACGACGCGGACACGGCATTATAATTTATAAATTATACAAATAAATTAAGAAAGCAATCAAAGCATAATATTTGAAATTACAAAACAAATGAAAGTAAAATCATTTGTAGCCTTGTAGCTTATTATATCAAAATAAAAGTAAGCATTAAATGTCTAGTACAGCAACAAAAGCATAAACATAAATTTTCTAGCACATGAAGTTTCAACTATTCAATAGAAGGAATGATATGATTAGGTTCTTCAGTGTTTGTCTTTGAACTTCTATATCATCTTCAATAAATATCATAGCTTCTAATTCAGGCTCATCAAGTGAAAGATTAGCAATTTCTAATATTCCAATATCATCAAGAGACTTAAATCCATCTCGGAAATGAGAGAACCTTGCTCGCAACCGCGAAAATATATACGACTGGTCTTTTTTTTTTCAACGGACACGCGTATCGAATACGCGTGTCCTTTTGAAATTAAATAGTATTTTAATTGGATAAGGAAAAGCCGTATCCGACACGTATCGGTGCCGTATCATAGGCATATCCCTGTATCAGTGCATCAGATACAACACGTCTTCAAAAATAGGTGTATTGGTGCAACATAGATAAAAATTAACTTTTTATTTGTTCTTTCAAAGGTTATATGACCATTCTTAATTTTAATATTTATATATAGAATAATCATAAATATGTGTACATATGTATATATACATAGTTGCTTGCATGACACACAAATATAGTGTAATAACACTTTACATATATATATATATATATATATATATATATATATATATATAGAGAGAGAGAGAGAGAGAGAGAGAGAGAGAGAGAGAGAAGGAGACATACCTCTAGTAGAACTGAAGATATTATATGTATTTGGCTCATTTATTAAACAAAAACAAGCTCATGTTACTTGATCAAACTCAAATCATTTGCTTAATGATAAACCTATCTCAAGAAGTTACCAAGCTGAATATGAGTGTCATCCTTAGAATCATCAGTCATTTCATTTATTCTCAACTATTTTGGATGAGCCATCCAAGTGGAATTTCTTTGTATTTTGCAAGATTAATGAATTATCAATTATGACTTATTTTGTGACTAAAAAAATAAACATAGGTCTTCCACTACTTTTAATGAATTCAAAGTAAGAGAACCTCTTTGTTATTACAAGCCCACACAACTGATTCCTTGCCATTAACCAAGGACAGTTGTTTTTACATAAGAATTAACAAGCGAACTAAAACAAATGAAAGATAGTTTGAAATCAGTAAGTGAACTGATGCTACTTTGAAATGTAAATTGTTAAATACTATGAAATATTGAAATTTTCTTTAGAATTAAATATAGATAAAATTGAGATACATAGTAATATCATCTCATTGATATGAAACTCAATTCTAAAGGTATATAGTAAAATGTCTTATCTTATTTGTTTAACTTTCAAGCAGCCAAAGTTATTTATCCTTGCCTACAATACCAGCACTAGTTATAAGCCATTTATTAATGATTTCTAGTCTCATTAGGTTGGTTGCTAAAAAGGTGCAGCTATTAATAACGGGAGTATGATGAAACATTTCTCATTCTGCACAGCAATAGCTATTCATAGCAAAGAAGTCTTTTGTAGAGACCAAATTTTGTATTTCAGACAAGGTTAATGATTTTGATTCAATAAAATATAACGTGGATATGGTTCTCCGGACCAATTTTTTTCAAGCTACTCTCTACCATATTATTAATTCGTCGTTAACCAGCATAACATGTCGTCAACTCTAGCTTTAAGAAATTTCCTATTCGCAAAAGAGTGGTTGGCCGTCCAGTGCAACATCCCCTTAAGGGTTATTGCAAATTCCACGTTGAACGACTGGTGGTTATAATTGCGTCATGTAGTAGGGCCACGGCAAGATAATAGCGATCGCTTATGACAAGGTGGACGAAGGTTTATGATTCAAATGAACGAGAAAGTAGTGATTCTTCATTAATCATCTGGACACGGGAAAGAGAACTGATCCTTGAACCAAATTTGAGAGAGCAAAACCGCCTGTCGACGCAGATAAACCGGAGGTAAAGTAGAAAGCAGAAACCTATTCGAGTATATACCTATCCAACTCAACCCTTCATAATTAGCCCAAGTAGAACGTAGCCTGTTTGGCCTCACACTCTTCTCCCCATCACCTGTGTTCTCTCTTTCCTTTATCAATACCATTTTGTACTCCTATTTGAAAGCTATCCATCCATAAAAAAGATACTATCCACCAATAAAAAGACGTAATGTATCACTTCCCCTACTTCATACTCAGTCACATCCAGTAAAAATTTAAAGAGCACAAGAAAGGAGAAACCAACGGCGAATCCGGAGGCACAAACCTGCAAGTCCAAATCGATCCGAGAGGGCAACGACCTCGTAAGCCGAGCTCGCGCCACAAACGATCCTAGCGCTTCTCCCTCTCCGTCTCCATGCTCCACCGCTTTCCTCCACCACCTATCCTTCCGCGTAAAATACCCGGTCCCCCCATTGCACCCAACGAATACGCAGAGGTCCGTTCTCTCGACGGCAAGGAGCGAGATATTCAGGGGGCCGTGGCCCCAGCACCCCGCCAGCATCTAACCTTAGAATCCGGCGAATTGCAATTCCAAAGAGGCGCGCCACCGACGGAGATCACCAAGAGCTGGCAAGAGGAACGTAATGGAGTGGTTTCGTGCTGAGATTTGCCCGCCAAGTCACCATTTCTTGGCCCGCACTGGTGACCACTGCCTATAGCAGTTTGAGGCCATGCCAACCCAACCCAAACTACAAATCTGACCGGGCCTAGGAAATTTGGCATCGCTTGAAGCTTTTATGGCCCACTCACACCCTATCCAATTCTAATCCATTCATATTCTCATGTCAATGTCGTTTTAGAATTTAGTTGATAACATCGGATGTACAAGTTGAATAAATGAAGGGACAATATCAATTTGCTAGAGACAATTATAGTATTATTGTTATATCATGGCAATATTACAATAGGATAATACATGAGAAAACGGTTTGGCTTCGACCAGTTGATTGAGGAGTTTGACCTCATTTACTAGGTCTGCATAGGACGGCAATAGTCTTTTATAAAGTTGATTGTTAAGTTGTGAGAAAAATAATTTAGTTAATCGGTTTGTAAAAAGTATTTTAATCCTATAAATTTTTAAAGATGGGTTTACCTACATAGCACTCTAAACTTACCCATTACATATCTAACACCTAAAACCTCTAAAATATACTTCCAACACCTAAAATTAAATATTCCACTATATCACACACTTTGTTACATCACTGTGAGCCACATGTGTGACAGCTCTCAGGTTTATCTCCTTCATTTGCCTCCTTTGTCTACTGCCTATCGATTTTTTGCTCATTCTATGTCTTGTGATGCGTGGAGGTATAAAATGCTCTATCTATTGGTATGATTTAGTTGTATTTAACGATATAAAATGCTTTACAAGTTGCTAATTGTGTGTTGTTATCTTTTGCTCATATTGAAATGCAATTTTTTGATGTGGGATACGCCTGGTATAGTCGATTGTACCATCTCATAATCTTTCATTTCTCTTGATATTTTTTTGTGAGAATTGTATTAGTATTGAAGTCAATTGTTGGCTATTGTTGTCAGTTCATTAGTTGGCTTTCACATATTGATTTAGATTCACGGGTTGCCTAGTATGACGTTGTGAAGTTTGGACAATGAGAAAAATAGGGGTAGAGTTGTGTTTCTTAGTTTTTGTTGGATGGCTTCCTACCTGCATGACTTATGTTGCAACCTGGACCCTACGTGATATCTTTGGAGGGCTACGGGGTCAATCGTAGGAGAGGCAACCCATGCTGCTATTGCTTCTTTAGTCTCTCTTTATCTTTGTAAATGAGCCTTTCTTTTTTTAAGTATGAATTTGGTGATATTGTAGATTATAAGCTCAACTTTTGTAGATGATTCTTTCTTTTTCCTATTTCATGTTTTTTTTTTCAAAATAGTTGTTGAGTTATTGTTTATGGAGAGGTTTCAGTTGTTATGTTGAAGTCAAATTTGTTACTATGAGCTCAACTTGTGATGACTAAGATTCTTGGTGATACTTGGTTGTTGTTATGAGTTAACACTATGGAGAAGGAATTACTCTTTGCATTTTAGAGTGATACTTGGTGATGAGTTACTGCAAGCCATAGTAGGTAATGGTAGTTATTATATTAAATTTACTATGTGCGGGGTGAGGCTTTAAAGAGTTGGTTACTGAGTTAATGTGAGCCTTTCTTGCTGTGATGATGCCTTCTGATACTCTCTTTGGCCTTTCATTTTAGTTTTCGTTTGTAATGTAATGTTGCAAAGATGCATTTTTTTAGGTATTACTTTGTTTGACAAAATGAGTTCAAGATATTCAACAGGTTCTACAAGCAATCACTTGTGTCAAGTGCAATGTTACTACAACTTGCAATGTGTGATATTTAAATCATATCAAAGTGAGAATCATGGTCAAAGATTTTATCATTGTCCTCGCAACAGGATACAAGAAGATTGAAATTTCTTTAGGTGGATTGATGAAGACGATCATACGTCATCAAACATTACTTATCATCCAATGCTAGGAATAATAAAAGAGATGACTTTGGAGAATTTGAAGTCGCTCAAACATGAGTTTTTTCAAATCAAAGTTTTGTTTGTGGCTTGGATTGTACTTTCATTATTAGTGTTGTACTACATGTAATGTTAAATTATTTATAAACATATTGTAATGTGAAGAGTTGAAGAATTTTATCTTGTACTTGAAAGTTCAAAATTTATGTAACAGTTATCTATTAAGTAAAAGATAATGTAATGTAATTGAGAAGTGTAATTTTCTCCATTGTCATTATCTTATGTTTATTTTCTTATGAAGTTGTACATTTCCAAATATAGAATGTAGTGATTAATGGTGGTTATTTAGTCTGTTTACTCCTTTTGGTGTAGCTCCATCTATCTGTACAATGAATTTGTAAATGTTTTATGTGTAGCATAAATTTCTCTCTTTTGAAATTATCAGATAATAAATTTTGAATAAATCAATGTAGAATAAATTTCTTATAGCTACTACAATCAGGTAAATTTGATTATGAAAAAATATGCCCCACAAAAATATTACAAAGACATTCAAATCGTGTAATAAAGTTTAACCCAAATTGACAAAAAGATACAAATTCCTCTACAATAAGTCAGTCTTTATCATATAGGATTTTTGCATGTTGTTTTATGGTGGCCCGATAGGCCGCACCTCTAGCATTTATGTTCACTTCCTTTTTTGTTAGTAGTTGTTTCTAAAAAACTTTGAATCTTCTTCTTTTGGGACAACCCATTGGTCTCAAAATTTTGGGTACACCAACTTGGACTTGGTCATCAACAAAACTAAAAGTTCGTGAGGGTTGTTAAACCATTATAAACTAGCATGAGACTAACCAAGAGGGGGTGAATTGGTTATTTAAAAAATTTATTAAGGCAAAAAAGAAAATTTTTTTGAATATTTTAAACCAAATAATTTATACGAAAGCAACACTAATTTCACAATAATAAAAATTAGAGATTTAGACCACAGAACAAATCATAGAATAATGCATAAATTAAGTGTTAAAAAGTAAATATAAAGACCACATCAGAATTTTAGTGGTTCGGTCAACTTGACATATGTCCACTCCCCGGAAATATCTTTTCCAAGTATTGGACTAAAAGTAGTGTCTCTTTTTTTGCCCCCACAGCAAGGCATAGAAGCCCTTACAAAATCTTTCCACCGACACAATGAGGCAGAGCACCTTAAATCATTTTACTCCCTCCTGGAGTAAGAAGAGAACCTGGAATTTCTTTTGCTCCCGCCTTGGGCAAGTAGAGAACCTTGAATTCTTTTAATCCCTCCTAAAGTAAGCAGAGAACCTTGGAATCCTTTTTCACCCTCCTGGTGAAGGCATAAAACCTAGATCTTATGCTGATAAAGATCTCCCCCCATAGCCACCAAGGAACCAGAAAAACAGCTTGAAGAAGACGTTAGAAATATTGCTTGGAGTAACCTTTATGAATCCCTCACAAAGATTTCTCACTCTCCCAAGCCCTCTCTTCCTTCTCTAGGCTCTCTCTCATATCCACCCAACAACAAAAGATTAAACTCTAGGATAATATGAGAGCTTAAATAGAGAGCCATAAAAAGCCCTAATTTTCAATCTGGCGATACTGATCATCTAGTACGATCATACGATCATTCTGTACGATTAATTCAAAATAGCCCTTTCAGCCAATACGAATTACATTACCCTATATGATTAGTATAAGAGAAATAGACATATCATCCCAGAACATTATAGTATCATCATGGATAATTAGTATAAAACTATTGAATTTGGTCTAGTATGATGCCCAGTGACGCCTTATCGTCCCACATAATTCTTTGTCGTCTAGTATGAAATGGGTCAATCTTTATGGACAATTAGTTAAAAAATTATGGTATTCATCTAGTATAATAGGTGGTGATCCCTTATAGTTCCATGCATGTTCTCTGTCGTCTTGTACGATCAAATCAAATTAAGTTTTATTATAGCTATTCTCCAAATCACAAGATTAATTTAGGCATGATTGTCACCTATCATCCATGATGATGTTGATCATCCTGTAAAATATATACAATAATTAAAATTTAAAATATTACCTAAATTGTGATTGACAGTTATTTTACACAATCAAAATTGATCGCACTGTATGATAGGAATCGTATAATGCTATTAGTTTAATCACTTTTAATTAATAGGAAGCACTAATTTGGGTTTTCTATTATTAACTCATCATCCAGTATGATCGAAAACCATCCTATACAAATAGGTAAAAAACCAAAAAAAATTCTAACTCACAAACCCACTCTCTTGAGAGTGTGTGTGTGTAAGATTACTTAGCTTGGGGTCCACCAGATATATGAATTGACTTAAGAAAGGTAAAAAGTATAATAAATTTTAAATTACAGACAGACTCAATCTTAGTCTGTTCGATCTTGAGTTGATTTGCATTATAAGTGAACTTATGGACTCAAAAGATTTGCAAGTAGAGCAAACAAATTAGATACGCAATAATATCGATAGAAAAGAAATAATAATATTTATTATCATCAAAATCACAATAATTTGGCCAAGACTTGCAACAATCTCCTCCTTTTTTATGATGACAAATATTATTTTTAAAATTTTCAAAGCCCTTTGACATTCTTTGAATCTCCCCCTTAAAGGATAAAATTTTGAAAGTAAGTGGAGTAAAAAAAATATTTATTTTTATTTTAAAAGAAAATGTAAAATAGTAAACACTAAACATGAACACTAAGTGAAAAATAAACTAAACACTGAATAGGAAAGTAACTTCATTAAAATAGAATATGCATGTAATTAACAATAAACTATTACTCCCCTTTAGCATCACAAAAAGGAGAAAACAACTGAAAAACAAAAGACATACATAAAAGACATCACAGAAGTAAAGAACATCACATATATTGCAAATCTAGGCCCAAGTACAATGATTTTGATAATAACAAGTATTATTATTTCTTTACTACTACTATTCTTGCATATCTATTTTGTTTTGCCCTACTCACTAACTTTTTAGGTCCACAAGTTTACTTGTAATGTCAATCAGCTCAAGATAGGATAGACAATGGTTGAGTTTGTCTGTAATTTAAATTTCAATATTTTTTTTACCTTTCTTGAGTTAAGTCATGTATCTGGTGGATCCCAAGCTAAGTAACCTTGCACACACACACTCAAGAGGAGAAATTTGGTGAGCTATTTTT